GTGAGGCCCGGACCAAAAACAGGTTTTCCCACACACACACACACGCACAGATTTTAAATCAGCGTGTACTCTCTGGCCGTCAGCGTTTAAGTGCGTCGGCCACAAACATAATTTAGAAGTTAAGTGCAAATCGCGCCGAGTAAATTTCCGAATCTCTTCAAATCATCCGTCATCTTCTTGCCCCACTTCCGCCGCCGCGGCGCCGTCAGCATTTCTTTGTGTCTGTCACCGGCCACTTTCCGCTTTCTGAACATACTGCCACTCACAGTTCAATTACGTCCGTCGATGATAGTCACGTCGCGATCACCGCCGTAAGCCCAACTGCGCGCTGATTCGTCGTTTATCACCATCCTCATTATCAAATACGATACAGTACTACTGATCACTTAGTCAATAAGGGGGCCTGACCTGATAGACTGAGGTTCGTGATCAACTGAGGTATGAATTCAAGGTCGTTCAGGCGACAGCTCAATCCCTGTCACAATTTCACCTTTCACTTTTCCCACGATGCACCTTCCCTCCTGCCAAACGGACTAGTGCACTGCGCAGTCCGGCCACAATACTGATTACGGTACTCGTGAAACTTTTCTGGTGAGGTTCGAAACGATGAAAATCGAACAATGCAGTCATCGAAGCCCCGCGGGGTCAAAACATTGTGCAGCGAAAGACACTCGTTTAACGAGGGTAATGGCAGGTCTCACGTGACCATAACCTTGCATTGAAAAAATGACATAATAATCAATCACTATGATGCTTTCCAAGGTACAAGTTACCTCAGTCTACTGCGTCTGCGTGTCTTATTATTAGAAACTAGTTTCCGAAGCTCGTATCGTTTCGGTGTCAAGAACTTAGTTAGAAGAATAAGAGCGTTTGTGATTTCATGGGTTAACGGCCAGGAAGATTATAAATATTTTGATAGCAAACGAATGTTGATCAGATCACGGACTTCGATCGTCATGAGAGTCACAAGTCAAATTTCCCGAAGCCCCAATCGCCGTTCTTCGCATGTTTAAAGTAACCTTTTCAATCTTTCTTCTCTAAGTCTCAGCCCGGTATCCCATAGCGTCTTTCGACCGGTGATAAGCATTCCCAAACATCAGTAAGCATAAATGACTGTAGATGCGTGAAATGGCTTGTACCAAAGGTTACTTTGCGCAACAAACCTGTCTGAACAGAAAGAAGCGAAATACGTTGGAGAATAATAGCGAAATTTTGAGGACGAGGGCGAAAAGCAGGAGAGGCAAGAAAACGTTTCGTTCAAAGTTTCAAGTGATTAAGTACCACGTGACTCCTAGACCTGTCGAAGGCAGTGGACTCCGGCTTGAAGAGGTGCAAAACGACGTCACATGGAACAGCTCATATAAAAGTTAAAATGGCATGGCGCACTTTTGGAAGACTTAAAATGTTCTTATCCGGGAAAGTGCCTTTGTGCTTGAAACGGAAACCTGTCGATCACTGTGCGTTCCAAGCAGTAACCTGTGGGCATGCGACGTGGAGCTCATGCATGAAAACTATTCATGAACTACAGACTACCCAACACAGCGTTGGAAGATGTGGAAGTGGAAGTGGTAGTGGGCAGAACACGCCGCAAGAAGAACCGATAATCGCTGGATCAGAGATGCTTTGGACTAGGATTAAAGAGATATAAATGTAAAGTAGTAAGATTTATAGATAAATGACTGCGTGAGCTGAAGGAGTTCGTCGGATCACGATGGATAAAAAAATTTAAGAAAACAGAAATTTACGGCAGAGTCTTGGAGAAGCTTTTTTAAGTGCTGTTGTCTCCAAGTCATAGAAGACGATGTTCTGAATGCAAGTGCTGTGTTATTATGTCCGAAGTTTTGTGTTATTGCCAACATCTTTGCCCTTCCAGAGTTCGGATGTTTAAGTAGAGCGACTCTCTTAACTCCACTCGTTTGCCACTCGTTCGTCTGCAGCAAATATACTCCAAACAAAAAAGCAGTCGGGTACTTTTGTCAAAATTTCGGTGCCAAGGCTCAGACAGTCTTTGATCTAGGTTCTACATGGTTGACTGTGACGAACCGACCTTCTGCTCTTCTTATTTGTCCTCAAGTCGATCACGGGTTGGTAGGAGTTCTGCGCCAAAGAAATTAGGAGTTCTCTTTGACTCATCACTACCAAGCAGTGAGCTGGAAGGTCATTCATCATTATTCCCGTGCATTCAGATACCACTCGGTCTACCGGACCGCAAAATTCTGATACATGGTTTAAGTGCTGCACGCAGTTGGCAGACTTCAAGCACTCGCCATTCAGCCACATCATGAACTTGTTCCTTTCATATTTCCTAATGCAAGTCTGGGTGTCCTATTGAGTTCACTACAAAGCAGAATTCACCTTACACGGCGGATTAATGTTATGGCTATTCTTAAGCTGTACGAAGAA